AAACCAGTTAACAACCACCGCCCTTGTCACGGTTTTTAACTGGGCCTGGCCTCCCCATGTGTGCGTGGTGAAGGAGTTTAGTTATTTAAGTAATCTGTAATTTGGATGATTACATTTAAATGTTGATTTTCTTTAGTTAATTTCATTCCTTTAAGTGGCAGTTATTGATATTGTTAACGATGATTTGCCTTTTTGTTTTTGTGATGCCCATTAATTTGTTTTATTTCTCTTTTTAGTTGCTGGAGACTGTGTGGCACGCTGACGCCCGTTGTGGTGGACCGCTCTTCTGTCTGCTGTGTCCGGGAAACGCGGTCTCGCTTCCCCCCACTGAGTGATGTGTCACTAGGCGGGTGTTTTTTTGAGTATTTCTTATTTGGTGAATCCCCCCCCCTGCAAACTAAGCCCCTGTCCATACACCGGCTCCAGCCCCCCTTTTGTGATCCCCTGTTATGATTTCTTTTGTATGAAGGGAAATTGAAATATTTTTAACTAATTAGTTAACAATAAATTGTATATTTTTCCTATAAAGGGTATACCGAGAACCACGTTCAATGCTTAGCTGAGTAACTTACCTGTGTGCTTTCCAAATTAATTCTCGTGAATTCCAGGAGGCGTTGTCGGTTTCCTTTCCCTAATTTGGTTGTTGTCAAAAATTTTAATTAGTTTATTTCCCCACCTTATCCTTATCCTCGCCACAACATTAGCGATGAGCCAAGTTACTGTGACCTGCCAGCCGTGCTCCATAACCGGAAGTCCATATATCAGCCTGGGATTCTTACCGATGTTAGATCAGCACTAGTCAATCAGCTGTTCAAAGGTATGACAGCGGATAGCAACATATACCAATGATTTAAAAGGCATTGTCATCTACCTGATTTCTTTTTTTTTTACATGTTGAACTGATTTGTTAAAATCTTTTTCACACAAAGTGGAAATAAAGGTTTAAATAACTATGGTAACTTTCATCTATTCTCAACTTTTATTTTTTATTTTGATATGGGGCTAGCTCTCTCTCTCTCACTCTAGAGCTAGATCAAATGAATAATTCGCAATTGATATGTTTTTTTTTAAAGTAATATTCATACTGGTTCAAATATACAATTTCATAGCATTTCCCATCCCCGAGTTTTTTGCAAAAGGAATTAAAGGCCTGTCCCATATAGAGCCCTGTCAAAAAATATAGGCAGGGATTTTATTTTGCTTCAATCACTGAGTTCTGCTAACTTAAGATGTGACTTAAGTTCCAAAAAGGGTGGGGCCTAAGAAGCATCAGTTCAAATAAAGTGAATTGCCAGCAAACTCACAACAGTACATACATGAGGCACCACATAGCCAGATCTCCTGCTTTCCATACAAATTGAGTAGGATCCATCGGCTTGACATCGGCCAGTGTTTCTCTGCCATGAGGGTGACGGGGCCTGTCTGGGCCCTACAGCTGTGGTACTCCAACCTTGAAGATCTCAGGCAGGCAAACTTAGTAGGCTATCCTATTTTACATGTCTTCTTGAAATTTCATTTTAAGGGGGCTCAGTAGCTCACCAGGTGGAGTGTGCATTTTGATATCAAAACAGTTTGATTTCATTGTTCATATTCTGCAGTCTTAGGTGAGTGCATAGCTGCAAATACAGCTCATGTGATCTCACTTCAGCATCAGATAAAACCAGGACCATGCCCCAGCATGAGGTCTACATATCTCCTTTCATGCCGCAGCCACCCTCCAAAATCAAACCACCATCTTCTTTAAACAACCGTGTCTTGTTGCAAATTACACATCTCATCAGGCTGATACTAATTTTTCACTGCTAACCACAAGATTCCTACGGAAGAATACGCAAATGTTGCACGCTGTTCCTCATCATATATCACCTCTTTGCCTTATCTTTTCTCCATTATTTTCCATACCCTCTTTTTCCTTTCCTTTTCTCACTCCTCTCCTTTTAGCTCTCCATTTCTTTGCCCTCCTGTTTCTCCTTTTCAACTTTTCTTGCCCTTTTTTCTCATCCTCATCTTCCACTGCCACACCCTCACCTTTGCACCTCCTGGCACACTATCATGTGTCACTTCACATCATGCATTTAAATAAAACACACCGCTTTCAAGCTCTGACACACACTCACAGCTTCCCTTGAGGGTTACATAATCATTTTTCTGTGTAATTAAAGATTTTACACTAATCGTGTCTGAAAGGAGCCAAGCAGATAATCACACAGACGTCAGGGCCTGCGGCTCTATTGTGTCCACTCGGCTCACAGTTGCACTTGCACGGGGTGTGAAGACGCCAGGAGAGGCTTTATGAGTGGAAACAAGGACACCCATGGGTGACTCCTGGTGGGTGTTGAATGGAACACCCTGAGGCAGTTGTATTGGCATGTGAGCGGGGACATATGTGAGCTGAGGGAAGCTGTGAGCAGCTGAATGGTAATGAGGAGGTCATGCAGAGACGAGCTGCAAGATTTACACTGGAACAGAATGAGCTTCAGTCTGAAAAGAACACACACTGGTAATCCCACACTGAAAACATGATAATTAATATAGAGGCAGTCAGTGAAAAGCCACAATATGGTTGAGGAGGCTCCAGGGTTCTGGTTTGCTAAAATAAGGAATTTTGCATAGAGCTTCCTCCTGAACCACATGAGTCAGTATTTATTATACATTTTTTGGAATTTAGCAGATTCCTGACTTCCCTGAACTTGCAGACTCATGGACTTGGGCACATACCCTTGCTAGGGCTTAGGGCTGTCCAAATCAACACTGAATGGATGGTAAATGGTAAATTGACCTGTACTTGTATAGCGGCTTTCTAGTCTTCCGACCACTCAAAGCGCCACATTCACCCTTTCACACACATTCAATCAGTGATGGCAAAGCCCATCAACTTCATTCATACACATTTACACACTGATGCACAGCATCAGGAGCAATTTGGGGTTCAGGATCTTGCTCAAAGGTACTTCGACATGTGGCAGGAGGAAGCAGGGAACGACCCAACAACCATCCGATTAGTAGACAACCCACTCTTTCTCTGAGCCAAAGCCGCCATTTATGGGGATCTCTCACATGAAAACAATAACAAAAGACGAAGTTTGATGACATCATGAAGCAGCATGGGATCGTGGGAATTCACTACTATTGCCGTCATTGCAGTCAGCTTCTCTTGGTTAGGATTCCTTCAGTGTTCATGGTTCAGGAAGTTTCTACCAGGAGCCCAATTATCCACAGAGGTCTCCTCATCTCCAATATATGGAAGTCAATTAAAAGTCATTATAGATTATAGATTATTGATTTAAACTTTGGATCAATACATCTAAAGCTCTCTCTCTCTCTCTCAGTCATGTTGTCCTTGGCTGCCCTCTCGCTCCGTCTCGGGGTCTCCGGTTTCCAAGGAAGCAGTCGCTCCATAGCAACCATCGTCTCCGGCAACAAGACCTCTAAGTGAGTTGGTACACATCCCAGTTTGTCCATTTGTCCCAGTTTGTCCCAGTCAGACCAGTATGAGGAAGGACGGATGGGACCAGCAGCTTTCAACCTGTCTGACCTTTGACCTTTGTGTGTGTGTGTGAGCAGGTTGGTGAGGGAGAGGCTGAGGATGGAGGTGGAGAAGATGAAGAGTCACTTCTCAGGGTTCAGACCAGGTCTGGTTGTCTTACAGGTCAGAACCTCAACTAACAAACACAATTTTATTATCACATAATGTAGCTGCAAACTGTCCTCTGTCAGCATCAGATGCTGCATTCAGTCCTGGTCTGGACCTGCTGTTCACTGGGAGCTCCCAGTCCACCAGAGTCCTCTAATGGATCCACTACAGCTGCTGGACTGGGGGGATGCTATAAGCTACAGCGACAGGTTCCTAACTGCCTGTTTCATGCTTTATGTCGACATTAAACCATTCAGCAGATCCAGCTGCTTAAATCCAACACCAAAACAGACAGAGTTGTACGAAGATGAAGATGAATGTTCACTGCTGACTGTGAATCTGTAGAGTCAAACTGGTCTCAGTCAAACTGGTCTCAGTCAAACTGGTGTGGACCGGCTGTGTTTACTGCAGCTGCTCTTCCTCTCAGGAACTCTGATAACAGACCTCCAACCCTCCAAACCAAAACCTGAACCAGCCAGAACGACCTGAACCTGCAGAGTCAGGGTCAAAGACCAATTGCAGTCAAAAAGCAGTCTCACAAACAGTTTCTGAACTTTGACCTGTGAATCAGACTTTTACCTGACTCCGGTTGAGAACTCGTTCTGTACACGCTGCTGTGACCTTTGTTGTGTGCACGGTGTCGTTGGCGCCCTCTGGTGGACCTTTCCAGGTAATACACGCAGTCTCCTTTGGATGCAGCTTTCTCCTCCACAGTGTCTACATGCTTGTGTGTTTAAATTGAGGCGTGTGATGTTACTGAGCCCACATGTGACACACTGTTGGGTTTATCTCGTCTCAGGCGTTAACATGTTCACAGCACTCAGACGTTTTATGTGCAGTCTTTGCTTCATGAATCAACATTTGGTTTTCAGTGAAGTTAGTTTTCATTTCAGCTTCATAACCATAAACCTTGACCTGTTTGTTTTAAGTCAGCAGCTTTATTGAATCTCTTATTTTCCAGATGCTGCTGTAGTAAGTTCCTCATTGTCAGTCTCAGACTGTCATCCATTGTCCTCGTTGATTTCAACCACACTAAAACAGTTTTTCATTCAAACATGAAACCAAAAATAAAGCATATAACCAAAATGATATTCCTTTATGTGAACCCTTTATCTGACATTGTCTCTTCTTTAAAGTGTTTAATTTAAAAATGTCTCCAACACTAACAAAGCAAACACAGAGACGGCCATTCATCCTGAGGCAGAAGCATCAGACCCAGTGAGATAAAGTCAGTGTGTGAAGGTGTTTCTGTGTTTCAGGTAGGAGACAGAGACGACTCCAACCTGTACATCAGCTCCAAACTGAAGGCGGCTGCAGAGGTCAGGAATCTCAACGTCTCTACACAAACAATGACTTATCACTGAGACTAAATATGGATGTTGTTGTCTTTATCACACACTGTATAAATCAACTGTCTGTAGTATCTGTGACCCCCACTAGCTTGTGCCATTAGCTACTGTTAGCTGGTACAGCCACCAGGTGCCAGGAGCCAAACCTCAGTCCTTTATTCCCCGCAGTCAAACTGTCCTCCGTCAGCATCAGATGCTGCATTCAGTCCTGGTCTGGACCTGCTGTTCACTGGGAGCTCTCAGTCCCACAGAGTCCTCTAATGGATCCACTACAGCTGCTGGACTGGGGGGACGTAGCACACAGCGCTATTAGCTACAGAGACAGGCCCCTCCCTGACTGTAGATATGAGGAAGTAAACACTCTGCTTCCTGTTTAAAATGAGCACCAGGTCCTGACCTGCAGCCTCGTCCTCTGTATCCTGCTGACCCAGAACCGCGGTGGCTGCTAGCAGGGCTGCGTTTGTTAATATGCTGATATAATATTGATACGATATTGATCGAGCTTTAATAAAATTTTCGTCTGCAGATTGGAATCGATGCGAAACATGTGCGGCTGCCGAACACAGCGACGCAGGACGAGGTGGGTGACAATCCTCCACTGATGGCATCATCCAGCAGCGATGGCGGCTGCAGCTCTGACTGTTTCCTGTCCCTGTTTCCTGTGGTTCCCCAGGTCCTGCAGAGCATCATGTCCGTCAATGAGAACCCGTTGGTCCACGGTCTGATCGTCCAGCTGCCTCTGGACTCTGTCAATCCCATCGACACTGAACTCGTCACCAACGCCGTCTCTCCGCTGAAAGACGTGGACGGGTGAGTCGCCACAGGAAGTGACCTACAGGAAGTCTCTTCTTCTTTTATAAAAACTTGTTTCTTCAGAACTGATCACCTTTATATTGTGTGTGTGTGTGTGTGTGTGTGTGTGTGTGCAGTCTGAGCTGTATTAATGCAGGGAAGTTGTCTCGAGGAGATCTGAATGACTGTTTCATCCCCTGCACCCCCAACGGCTGTATGGAGCTAATCAGACAGACAGGTCTCACACACACACACACACACACACACACACACACCTGAGTTGTTGCATAATGAAAAAAGGAGGAATAAAACTGAGGCAAATGTGTCAGTACTAGGCCTACTGGTTAATTATATGTATAGGACAGTTTGGTGAAGAATGCTGTCCTGTATTGTTCAAGAGGAACGACTCCTGAGAAAATGCATGAAAGGTCCTGGGAGAATGATCTTCTTAAACAGAGGTTTGGTTTGAAAAGTCCATGAATCCAAAGTTGTTATAAGTTTAGTGAGTCAGTATAAAACAAGAGAAGCAGCAAGCTCCTCATATTTTTCAAATGTGAGCTGGGATGTATGAATGGGTTCAAATGGATTAATCAATTATTAGAGTAAATTGTAGTGTATAAATTGTATTGAGAATAGTAAACAGAAGGAGTCTCTAAGAAAGCAACTTGGCAGGTTAACAAGTGTTTTTGGGACAGCTCCTTGCGCTTACACAAGACCCTATTTTTGACATTTGACACACTCCCATCTCACTCACATATGCTCACCTGTTGACTTCCTGTTCCTGTGTAGGCGGTCTGTGGGGGGGAACACGGCGGTGGTGATTGGTCGCAGTAAGATTGTCGGAGGCCACCGGATGCACGAACCTGCTGCTGTGGAACCACGCTCTGTGACCACCTGTCACTCAAGACACCTGACTACCTGAGCAGGTTGACGTCACTTGTACTGATTGGTTATTATTAGTCCTCACAAGACTCTAAAGTCTCTGTGTGTCTGATGATGCGTTTCCGTAGGTGGGCCTGGCTGATATCCTGGTGGTGGGGTGCAGGGAGGCAGATGGATGGTGACGAGGAGGTGGGTTGAAGGCGGAGCAGTGGTCATTGACTGTGGAATCAACCACATACCAGGTACCACACTGATATTGTATATGTAACTCATTAAAATGCATTAAAACGCGTTTAACAGCATTATAGCGGCAATATAAGCATGCATGTATAACGTGGATTTATAACACATCTGTAACGCATAAAACACATTGAAGACACATTTAAGCAATATACACATTATAAATGGTAAATGCGCGACCTTGTACTTGTATTAGCGCCTTTCTAGTCTCCGACCACTCCAAAGCGCTTTACACTCCCGCACATTCACCCTTCACACACAGTTTGTACTCAGTGATGGCAAAGCCCATCGAACAGAAACTAACGCATTCATACACATTCACACACCGATGCACAGCATTGGGAGCAATTCAGGGTTCAGTATCTTGCTCAAGGATACTTCGACATGTGGCACGAGGAGCCACGTGTGTTTTAATAACACATTAAAACACATTAAAACACATGGTAACACATTATAAACATACAGTGTGTATAGCAATGTAACATTGTCGGATAATAATAATAATAACTTTGACCTCTGTGTGGTCGTCTCTGACAGATGAGACGAAGGCGAGCGGTAAACGAGTCGTCGGAGACGTCCACTACGCGTCAGCCAATCAAAGAGCAGGATTCATCACACCTGTTCCAGGGGGGGTGGGGCCAATGACAGTGGCGATGCTCATGGAGGTCATTCAATCAATTTAATTGTATTTTATAGTGTGGTTTAAATAATCTCTTTGTTGAATAATGTGAACGCACATTTCAAATGAACTCTCTCCACGCCGTTTCCCAGCATCCTTTGTGCTCACAGGGGAAGCGCCGCCCAGCTACAGCTGATTCTGCTGTTGTGTGTGAAGTTCTTCTGATGATTCCACTGCTTTTATTCATCCTGTCTGACTTCAGTTGTTGTTATTTATTGTTGTTGTTGTCTTTTGTTTAGAACACGGTGCAGAGCGCTCAGCGGTTCCTCCTGAAGAACCAGCCGAGGAGGTGAACCTGCAGAAAACACTGGAAGGTGAAACGTCCTCTAAATATCATCAATCACCTGATGTTGTTTTTCTTTAATATTAAATTCTACTGCGCTTTTATTCTGTTCTATTTTTCTTTATTTAATTTGTCGCCTAAAGCAAAAAGTATCTCAGTATCTTTTACTTTTTTACTGTTATTTGTTCAAGTTTACTTCCTCTTCTCCCCACAGAGATCAATAAAGTGTCATTTTATCTTCAGTCTGATCCAAACCCACCAAGAGAAAGAACATTCACCGTTCACAGACGCAGAAAAAGAAACAACAAGAGGATTATATTCAACATGTTACCTGTCAGTCTGAGCTCAGGGTTCACTCTCTTTATTCTTTGACCTTTAAACTGGACTGCAGCTGTTTGTTCAGGGGTCAGAGGTTGTTGCCGTGGAAACAGAGATGTAGCAGCTGTTTCCTGCTGGGGGGTGAAGTCAACATGAAGCGTCCAAATATCTGATCAATGTATTGATTATTGACAAAAACCTGTTTAATGAGTTTTTCATTTGTTGCACAAATCATTGATACAGAATAAATAATAACAATAATAATGTAAACAATAACAATAATAATGTAAATAATAACAATAATAATGTAAATAATATTAATAATATAATTGAACTTTTAGATTTCTCTTCGTCTGTCTGTTCTTCTGCAACATGTGAATCAATAAAGTTTTATTACAACATTTTAGTAATTGTGTTTTTATTTAAAAGGTTGAAAACATTAAAGAAATTAAAGAGAAAAATAAAAATATGAGTTTTTTATCCTGTAATATAGAAAAACTTTTATTCGACGTTTGAGACTCAAAACTCATTTATTCACATTTTATTTCCTCTTTTTCATTTTCTTGTTCTGTGGTCGCCCTGCGGTCGTCTGTGTGAACAGAAGCAAGACATCAATAAACACACAGATATATTGATTACATATTTATTGTTTTTATGCATTTTGATTTGACTTTAATGAGTTTAATGTTGATGAATATTCTCTTTATTCTCAGAACAGAAAATGATTACATCAAACAAAAACACATCATATTTATTTTAAAATGTACAGAAACTGAAGTTATTAAGATAAATAATATTTATTATTATTGATCAAACTTATTGATTAATACAAATGAACTGAACTCATTTAAGGAGCAGATTTAATCAGCTACAATCGCCCTGAGCTGTGACTGTCAGGCAGACGTTACAAACAGCTGAAACTGATCACCAATCAATCACTCTGAACTTTGACCAATGAGATGACAGCTGCTTTCATGCCACTCATCAAACTGATGATGTCATAGTGTTGACGTTTGCTGCTCTTCCTCGGGTTCAGGCGTGATCTCTGCAGCCCGGCGGCTCCCTGTGAACACAGTCCGAGTCACTCTGCTGTTCTCTGGTCAGCTGATCCACGGCGGCGTTCATGGCGGCTCGTACCAGAGAGCGAGCCGTCTGAAGCAGCTGCTGCTCGCCGTTCTCGGAGCCGAGGAGGAGGAGGAGGAGGTGGTTGTGGTTCCCCGAGGAGGAGCTGCCCTCCCAGCACTCCTCCTCTCCGTCCTCCTGAGCGTCGTCGTCCGGGGGAACCAGCTCGATCCGGATGCAGGGTCCGTTAGTGGACAGCTGAAGGGGCGAGGTGGTTTCGTCCGTCTTCTCCTCACAGGGAACCTCGGTGGACTCCTGCGACGCCGTCGAGGTTGAAAGCTGAATGTCAGCGTCCAAAACCTCGTCTGTCTCTGGAGACTCAACTTCTGATGCGCTGTTTGTGTCCGCGGGGCCTTCAAAGACCTCGCTGCCAGTTCTGGTTCTCACAGCGTCCATCAAAACCTCGTCCTCATCTGGAGCTTCATCCTCCGTCACCGTCACGACCTCTACGCTCTGAGCAGTTGCACCATGGTAGAGTCCGGTAGGTCTGTCTTCATTCACGTACTCAAGTTCCACCGTTTCCTCGAGCTCCACCGTTTCCTCGAGCTCCACCGTTTCCTCGAGCTCCACCGTTTCCTCCACATGTCCCAACTGGCTCGTTCGTCCTCCTCTGAAAAACGTGCACATTTTTTCCCTGAAGGTCATCGACGGTTCTCTTTTCTTCTGCTCACGGGTTTGTCGAACATCGGACGCAGTGAGGAACCTTTTGAACGCCGGCCACGTCCTCACATTGAACCCCCTCTTCCTGTTTTCTTCTGTGGTGTTCAGACAGGCAGCCTCCTGCAGCGCCCCCTCTGTTGGAACACAACCGTCATTCTTCTGCTCCTCCAAACTCTCCTCCGACTTTTGCTTCCTGTTGCAAACGGCGGCCGGTGAGAATCTTCTCCACCACCTGCGTCGGTTCACCTTCCTGTTTCTAATGTCATCGCCCCGGCCTGCGGCTCCACAGCGCCCCCTGCAGCTCTCTGCGTTCACCTCAGATAAAACGCCTTTGTCCATGTCTGCAGTTTCTGTCAGCTCAATGGTTTCGCTCTTCGATGAGGATTCGTCTCCGCCGGCTGTCTGATTTTTGTCTGTCCGAGCCTCAGGTCTGTCCTCCCCCACGCTCCTGGTCCTGGTTTTCCCCAGCAGCAGCCTCGGAGGACCCGTCAGCTTCCTCTTTAAAGTGGCTTTCTCTGCTCGCTGAATGTCCTCTCCGTCCGCTGTCGCCATGGTTTCGTCTCCACGGTGAAGCTAAATGGTTTTTATACTTCCTGGAGGCGTTTGAGCTCTTCTGTCCACAATGAGCCGCTGATGAAGCGTCTGCTGCACTCTTACTGTGATTAAACACCTGGGAACCTGCAGAGCACAGAACCACAGACACACAGCTCATATTATATAATATATATAACTGCCAACACAAGAAATAAGAGACAACAAACAACAACAAAGACACACAAAACAATCACAGAGTGAGAGACACTAAACAGTAAAGCTATGATCAACATATCTGATCATTTCCAGACACAAACATTAAAATATTCTAACAGTTTTATTCATATAGTCCAAATTATCCTCAGGGGGCTTTATAATCCGTCCACAGGACATCAGTGTGAGGAAGAACTTCATTATACAACAAAGCAAGTGTTTCCGATCAGTTTGATCCTGGGAGTTTGGGACCTTGACGTCACTCCTGCGCAGACTCTGTTTAAGATGGTGACGAGCGTATCCGAGATATCTGGCTTTATTTCAGTACAGTGGGAGGAAGTGGAGACACGTCATCCATCTTTATATACAGTCAGAAATAATGTAGGCTGTGAAATATAAATGAGTACGGAGACAGTGTGAAGAGGTTAGGCAGTGAAAGGGAGTAAAACGACACATTTCAGACACAAAAAAGCAGTTAACCCCCCCCCCCATCTCGGCATCAACAATAATAATACTTTTGTCAATAACAATGTGCAATA